GGGGGGAACCTACTTTTTTTCTCTCTTTCCGCTGTTTTTATTTTATAAGTACACTTTTGGTATAGTCCGGAGCTTGCTTCTCCCTTTGATGATGTACAGTACAAACGGTTTTGGGGGGGGAGGGGGGGAGAATCCTACTTCGTTTCTTTCTTTCTGTTGTTTCTATGAGTACACTTTTGGTACAGTCTGAAGCTTGATCCCTTTGTTCATGTACAGTGCAGGTGGTTTGAGGCTCCTACTTCTTTTCTTTCCCTTCATTGTCTCTGTAAGTACATTTTTAGTATAGAGTTCATAACGTGTTCCTGTTGTCCATCATACTGTGCAAGTGTTTGGGGGGGGGAATCCTACTTATTTTCTGTCCCTTCGTTTTCTCTGTAAGTACATTTTTAGTAAAGAGTTCATAACTTATTCCTGTTGTCCATCATATAGGCCTACAGTGCAGGTGGTTGGAGGGCACCTCTGTTAGGTAGCAGCCTACTTCTTTTCTTTCCCTCTGTTGTTTCTATTTGTCTGTCTTGCTTTATCTCTGCATGTCTTGTGTTTCTCTTCACTCAAAACTAACGATCGAATAAGCTCCATACAGTATGTCACTCAGCAGTGCAGGAATTTTTATTTGAGATGAGATTCAAAATTTCAATCAACTGAATAGATGCTCCCCTTACAGCAATTTCGGTCCTGTCATGTTGATGATAAAGATTTGAGTATGAACTGATGAGAATAATTTTTTAATTCCCAAGATCTCATATTCACACATACGAGTACATGCAAGCACGCACCCACTCACATACACACCCTTTTCCAAATGATAGCGCATTCGTATACGTATACTGAATTTAAAAGTTTTTTTGAAAGCAGGTCATCTTTATTGAGGCTTGCCATGTTCAGGGTTATCTTGTTTGTAAGGTTGCTTTTTTTTTTAAAGGTTATTTTTGAGTATATAGAAACCTGAAAACAGGTGTTTGGCCTGTGCTGTGGTAAGGTCTGCTCCTCTTTTCCTGTTCAGCATATATCATCCTGATCTCTCCTCCTTCTTTGTAGTGTTTGCTACTTTTTTGTAACACATCTAGTCTTCGGCACTTAAGTTATATGACCTTACTGTGTTGCAAGTGCCATTAAAAACTCTTACTAAAACAAACCGGGAAGTAATGTATGAATACTTTTAATATGACCAGGACTTAATTTTAATCTATCTTTAATGACAAACTTTCTTTTAACTAAATGAATTTGCACATTTATGAAATCTAACTGGATAGGTGGGCGGTGATCAGTTTTGTAACGAATAACTCTGCTCCAATTGTGTTCTCTATTATGATGTTATGAAGTCCACTGGGGTTTTTTTTTATAAATCGTGGTTAACAATGGGTGAAATAAGTGTGTGTGTGGGGGGG